ATTTTATACCGGATTTGCTTCCTGTAAACATCCTTAAAATATATAATAGATAACCTGTTTAAATAAGCGAATATGGTATTTGCTCATAGTTCTTTGAATCAATTTCGTAGACATGAGAATACAACTATGTCAAGTAAAAGGCTCTTATCTCTAAGCAAGTTTTGTTATAAGAGGAAAGTTTTTGTCGACACTCTTTTATATTGATACTGCATTAAAATAAATTGTTGTTAGTGCTTAGTTCACTGTAATATTATTAGCCAATTAAGCTCATTATGTTGTGTGCCAAGAAAATAAAACACGAAATAACAAAGATTTTTTAGTAAATGAAACGCATTCACTTTATTCACAGTGAATGAATTGTGACAAAACTACAATCAGATTGTGTTCATACTTTGATATTGATTGTACATTAGTTTCGAGTTGTATACAGTTGTATTGGCTTTTGATTGGATGCTCAGCAAAAATGTAACCAAACATGTCATTCGTTCTTGATCAATTACATACAAAATTAATTGGATAAATATTATATGCATGTCAGATGAAGTACAGACGCCGTGACATGATTATATGTTTTTTGGGGTTTTTTGTGTGTTTTTTTTCTTTATAAATACACCAGTTTGACACCATAGTCATGGTGTGACCATAAAATACAATATATATATATATATAATATTATATATATATATATATATATATATATATATATATATATATAAAGAAAAACACATCCTTAATTGAAGAAATTAACATCATTCGACACCTACTGAATGTGCAACAAACATACACAATACATGCGCCTGGTGTGATATAATATAACATGTGAATATTTTTACCATCTTTGGATTGTAACATAATACGTACGTGTATGCAATCGTTATTTTTACTCATAATACAGGACTTTAATTGAGGTCCTAAAATTATTTATATTTTAATTCCTTGCATAGGTCAGTTTGAACACTTATAGAAAGGTATGCAAAAAAAATTAAAAAAATAGGAATATTCTCAGAAATAAATTGGAAACCTGTTTTGATAGGTATTTTAAGCCCGATTTGAGTTAGAAGCTTTGCACTTCTTTCGGGTTTATTATCAAACAACAAAATGCACAATCAAAATCATGTTCATATTCAATAACGGACACGAAGTAACATTTCCATTAAATACGCAGTTCCATTTATCAATATAGCACTTCATTTTACAAAATAGACATGCTTAGCTGAAATTTAGATGTTACATAACATGTTTTAAATACCGATGCCAGTTTCACGTAAACTTAGCATTTTGCCTTCAGGGAACATTATCACTTTGGAAACTGTAGTATTAGTGGAGATTTCTTTTAAGATAGAAATGCGCTATTTTATTAATTAATTGTTTCATAACACATGTTCAATGTGTCTGTTAATTTTGCATTTTTATTTAGAAGTATAATGCAATCAATTATTTTTATATATATCGTACTGATATTTGACAGTATACTTATAAAAAAGTAATACTCGTATCAATGACTAAATTACAATCAAAGTTGAATGTTCTTTTATATGAGCATACTAGACACTTACCCTGTTTTATGTCAGCTCACAATTTACGATATAAAATGTTTAAGATATAATAATAAAGCTTCTATATTTATAATGTTTATAAAGAATTCACGTCATGGAATTACTATTTAACCAAAGGACATAAGATTTACTTTTTACATGAAATAACTAAAACCCGGACTAAATCCTTTCTGATTTTGTTTTAAATGTGCTTGACTTTTAAGAGAAGTATTGCCCAGTTGTTTCTCCTGACCCAGTACGTTCGTATGTTAAAACTCTTTATAATGTATCAAACTAGAAAATGTGTATTTAGTTAAAAGACAAATTGTTATTTTTATTTCTATTGATAACTTAATAAACATATGATTTTTTTAGTTAAAATTTTAAAAATATTGAATGTCATTTCACCATAGGGTAAACGAGGGATAATCCAAAATAACGTAAACTTTTGGACTACACACGGGCGGTCTAAATTGTGTAAACATTAAAATAAAAACAACAGAGCATTCAAATAATGAGTAAAAAATGATAAATAGAATATAATATAAAATATTGAGTACAAATTGCAAGCGCGCCGTACGATTCTATTACAATAGAAACACATATGCGACACATACAGATTTTGCAAAACTTGTTAAGAAACATACTTCACAATCCAAAGAAAATTAAAAAGGCACAATTTGTGGCCACATAAGTTTGATATACTGATGATATTATACCAATATTACAAATATGACAGATGAGATTTAATAGAAATTAGTTTCATAGTGCGGTGTTACCAGTGTTTCGAACTGTGAAATATATAATATCACAACACACGCTAAAGATGATTGATAGAGCCAAATGTGAATATCCGGAGAACAAATAAACTAACCGATGGGTTTTTATCAACAAGCGGCAGCCGGAGGGCACTTACGGCTCGTGTAGACACACCGCATAATATGAACGTCAAAGTTGTGGTAAATATTTTCGATCTCACGCCCTGCCATTTGGATTTGACGCCAATCAGAAACCTGACTAGCGTTGAAGCGGCCATGCAACAGAACGAATACCATTAAGCAATATGAAAACCTCGTGTATTTTGATATAATACTGACATATCTCTATCTTGTTTTATGTCTCCAATACCATAATATTTAATTATTATAGCAAACCTTCATAATTAGTGTACAGAGTGTTGGAAACATTCATTGTTCTTTAAATGAATTTTTAAGTTGTTTTCAAACGCTTTAAATGAACACACTTTTCACACTATCTATAAAAGCAATGCCTACGCACTCACACACTATCATTCTCATTCACGCTCGTGTATCCTCTCTCGCTTCTATCTTCTGCAATATGTTCACATCCATGGGAAGAAACAGAAAATCAATGCAGTATGCCACGCTCTCTGATCCCTTTAGAATTTATGTCAAGTTAAGGGTGTCGCATTGTATGACCAGCAATGGTTTACAGTAATTTCCCAACAAAATATTCATTGAAATGAAAGTAAGACAAAAACATTTAAACACAAACATTGAACAGATATTAGTCTGGTTCACGCTCGCCTTTCATCTCAAACACGGACGCACCTTCAACACTACACCCACACAATACGTTATGAAATGAGCCGAACGAAACGTTGTTCCGGCTAGCAACATTGAGCCCAATACTTTTAATTGTAAAATGTACTTTCTCATGTTATTTTTTCAAATATCTCTCTCGCTCACACGAATTTGCTTTGACGCCGTCATAACAATTTATGATGATATTATTTTTATTTACGATATGCTTTGAACCCATATTATCATCTCACAGCAAAAGCTCAGCATTATTATTGATCATCTCTCGTACGATATGAAATCGCTGATCTAGTTTGACTTTTTTCAGAATGAATTTGTTAGGTTCAAGACTTGAAGACAAAAGACAACTGTTTACGGTACTAATGCCAATTAATTACACATTCATTTAAACCTTAACTGTGTTTATCATGTTTAAGATGGGTGGACATGTACTTCCTAAATTTGAAAAAGAATGCATCGGAAGGTCATAAATTACAGAAAATATTTCAAGATTAAGTATTTGATGCAGATGGAAACCTTACTGTTTAAAAGTATGTGTTAACTAAACTGAAATTGTAGAACAAAATTCGAATAAAATAATACAGAAAAAAATGCTTATACTACAGAAATATTGTCCCAATAGTGTAAATACTCAAACATTAATTAAAATAATAAAAGAGACTAAGTTAAACATTCCTAACATACATTTAATAAGAATATGGTTGTAAAATTTCTTGGAAACGAAAACTCTCAGTTTACTTAACATTTTGCAAAAACGTCGTTAGTTACGTAAACCGGGAGACTCCGGACATGGTATTTATAGAAAATATAATTTAAATTGTTATTATTGTCAGCAGAAAGGTTTCATTCTAAATCATACATCAATAACTGTTTTGAATCTGCTAATACATTTAATGAATGAATTATTGAATACAAGCACTCAATGCATATTCACATTTGAGGAAAATTACCAAATGATGGGAAGAATAGTTTTGTTTTACATGTAGAGAAACTAGTGTATGTAACTAAGATACATCTCATGTGACACATTTAAATCTTAGTCTACTAAAAGCTAATGCTTAAACAAAATTGACACCTTATACTTTAACATCTGGTCAAGTACCAAGCAAATGACAATCTTTCAAACTAAGGTTTTAATTATAATTTGCTGAATAATGTTGATATTATCCATATATTGCATCTTTATACGTGTATATTATAATATTATGATAAAAATGAAAAGAAAAGAGTTTTATTTTTATTTTTAATAACCTTTTTTACAAATTTAATGATGTATATAAAGTCATACTACTATTTTCTTTCAATTATACAAACATCAGTAACTTAAAGACAGAACAAAATAATACATATTAAGACAAAATAGTTGTCGATACATACTTGCCGTCTGAATGGTATCCCCTGGAATATTGGCCTGACGCCCGGTAGAGAGATTGTCAGCGATAGTTACGCTCAGGCACGTACAGCCAATGAGGCTTAGAAATATAAATATATACTATCGCCTACGATTCTATTTTTATTTTCTTTAAACCTATGTAGTATGTGTTGGAAAATATAACAACACATCGAGTTATCAACCTTAAAATTGAGCACGTTTTTTAAAATTCATTTGAGATGAGCATGGGTGAGTGACATTCTTATTTATTACAAATAAACTCATTTAACACTATTTGAATTTAAATGAAAAAAGGACTATACACACACACTGTTGACAGAAAAATCGTTATGGTACGAATTATGTAAATGGTATACTAATGATATAACATACAACTATAACAATGAACGTGTCTTAGCCAAAATGGGTGGTCAGGTTTATTTGCATTAATACGAAGCAATTATGAAATTATTTTTTATTGTACCGAACTGACTTTATAAACCGTTCGCATATTTATACAATAAGTGATACCTAAAGACCCGCTTGTACCCATTCTTAATATCTCAAATTCAATAGATGTTCCACCACGTGCAATCTCCTTGAACACATACAATCCAATACCATTTTGTTCAATCGTAGTATAACTGTAAAAAAAATGTGACAAACAAATATATATGAGCCGCGTCACGACAAAGCCAACATAATGGGTTTGCGACCAGCATGGATCCAGAGCAGCCTGATCATCCGCGCAGCAGCAGGATCCATGCTGTTCGCTATCAGTTTCTCTACTTGTTAAAGGGTTTGTAAGCGAATTGCATTGATCCTGATCAGACTGCATGGATGCGCAGGCTGGTCTGGATCCATGCTGGTCGCAAACCCATTATGTTGGTTTTGTCATGGCGCGGCTCATATATTACTCGCATACATTTGTTGAAAATCATAATGCATAAAGAAAGATTATGAAAAACTGTTTAAAATCACGATTGCATTTTTGTTTTCATTGTGTGTCATTCGATGCATATTCGCTGGTATATCAAATATCGTTACTTTTTAGTATTTTTATAAATTTCTAAGTTAGCTATTTTAAAAGTTAACTTAAAGTACTGATGGATATCTTGTTATAAGTTACGTTGATTTAACTTTATTAATAAAAACATATTTTTTTGGTATTTTAAACTATTTTTGTAGCAATAACAAATATAATACATATACATTTTCAAATAAGATAACTATGTAAAATGTACAGGTTATTCCCTAATATATTTTCGGAGTTTATAGTTAGCAAACGTATTATATATATATATATACTGTTTATATCACTTTTAAATCAGAATTGATATATACATTTTGCACAACCATGTATAAGATATAAATCGAACATGTGTCAGATTTTGAAAATTATTTATGTTAATCGTTATTCAATCGTTATTTTTATTTGCACAATAGTACATTGTAAAGTATATGGAATTGCTTTTAGGAAAAAGTAATAATCAACATTTAACTTATATACGTACTTGAGACATTCGCCATCTATGATTAGATTTTTGCAAACTAGTTTGTTGTCAAGTAATGGCTGTAAATGAAAGACACAATCAATTGGTTGAGATAAATTTAATGAAGAAGTGGTCAATATTTGAAACATTTACAAGCAAAAGGATACATTACGTGGCATTATTTAATTATAAGAACCCTCGATTTTAGCGTATCTTAAACAAGCACAATTTGAATAAAACGTACATTGATTTGAATTAAACACTCACGTTACCTTCATCCGCAACTTTTTGTGTCTATCGGACCCTAGAGCCGTGCAAATTCGATGCGGTTATATACGCAGAAATAACCTTCGCTCTTTGTATGAAAACTTGTTTGCAGAAATACATCATTAACAGGTTGCTACGACAATACATGACTTTTTTAACACAGACAGTGACTGGCATTCTAAAATACCCTCGCACATTTCAGATAAATATTAATTACATGTCTGGTTGTTGTTTACATTCAATAACTTTTAGGTCTAGATATTCTTAGAAATCTGGTATAAGTATATAATGTTCCACTCAAGTGATACGGTATACCTTTTCTTTTTAACATGATTGCTAATATTTTGTTCATTTGCCATACAATATGTATATCGGATATACACTTTGGATTGGAATTACATTCCCGTTATATACCTAAGTTTCATTTGAGCTGACTTTAACTGTCACTTTATCTTAATGGTACATTTGCAATCTATGATCATTGTTTTATCTGAAATTCCTACAATTATTATCATTTAATGTGGCAAAACAAACTGCTTTTACGATTGGTAACTTGTTAGTAGGGAGGCTTACTGTACGTTTTGTATTTGATGCCAATATCGTCGACAAAATGTAATAAAGAAACAACCATTGCAAATTATTTCCTTTATTTATCACAAAAAGGTTGACTCTGTAATTATTTGATTTTTAAAGAAATGAAAATTTACTGCAATCATAACGAACTATTTTTAGATGACACTTTAACATTTATAAATATAATTAACTCACTTGAAGCTTTTGGAGCGCCTCTGCCTTCATCGTATCTTCTCTTGTACATTTCTCCGCCACTTCTTTTTCTATTACGATATACGTTTCAAGATAAGATAAAACTAGTTTTAGACATATGTAAACAGTATAATCTTGATAGCTTACATTGGGAAAAGTTCAGAAACATTAATGTAAGTAATTTAAATTGAATAAATCCGATACAAAATTTCACTAAATTGAATAGTATACCTCATGCGTGTTTAACATGAATAAAAAAACTTAGTAATAAAGGAAAGATAAAGACATTGCCCTAATTTCCGTTTATGCGGTAAATTGTAAAATGCCAACCAATCATCTCAAAAAATAAGTATTTACTAAAAATATTAAATTTAATTAAGAGATATAACTTACCAATCTGCTTGTATCTCATCTGACTATGCACATGCTGCATGAATGAATAATATGTTATGTAAATTAAAACATATCCATACTCATCATCTTGTTTCTTAGAAGTGATTGTATTTAAAAAAAATAATACAATTTTAAATATTTTGGAGAACAACAAAAGAACGTGTTATTGTGATATCAAATATAATGATTTCATTCCTTGATATGAATCACATCATTTACAATAATTGTGATATTACATAAAAATTAAGTAAGTTAATAAGTATATAAGATGAATGAATAAATAAATAGAAAAAATAAATTATTACAAATAAATAAATCGATAAATGATTAAAAAACTAAAGCAATTTTTTTAGTTATTTTCTTATCAATGTTTATAGCCCTAACATACTAGTCAGGTTGTGCATTACAGGCCAATTTAGCCTTAAAAGGTGCGTTCCCAATTGCTGTACCCTATACACACAGTGACTTAAAGGTCATCGGGATTTGTATTATCGGTGTAATTTCAGATATGTCGATACATACAATTTTGTTTACAGATAATTCTCCTGATAATTTAAGTGCTATTTTACTCAGGTGATAACATTCCTTTCGGATTTAATCCATAATTTCTACACTATAAAACACAGCCTTTTCTACGGACAGAAATGAAATTATTCAAATCTGAAGCGAAGTGTCACTTGTAAGACTCTGCATGTTTCCATATTTTACGTTTCTATGTATGCATATTTTGATCTTTTGTGTGTTGTTATTTTGCAATAAGGTCAATAAGTCAATAAGCTGTTTTATATGTTTCCGTGTTAAAGGTATATTTGCTTCAATGACATTCCATAAGCTCACAATTTGTTATTCTATGTTCATCGTATCTTTCTTGTGTTCTGATTGTAGTTCTAAACACTTCATATGCCACCCCTTTGAAAATGTCAAATGATCGTAAGGAGATATTAAAAGGAAAAGTGACTTGCCTGAGGTGAAGGATTACGAACTTGCCCTTCACCAGCAGAATCAATTTGCTTGAATTCATGTTGATGCTGTTTACCTAAAATGCATAAGTATTACACTCAAATACGATGGTTAACTATATATCTCAAATAGAGATAGCTGAATATCGAGCAACATCAAATATAAAAAAATGTCATTTGTTCATGTTCAAATAAAATATAATCGTTATATGTATCAGATGATCGTTAAACGGTTACTTAAATATGTTTAAATGATACACATTATTTTTGTACGCTTTTCATATTCTTAATAATATGACATATATCATAAAAAGACATTTCATTTTAAGTGAACAAAAGTACAAACAAGAGGGCCATGATGGCCCTGAGGTCGCTCACCTGTATATAGCCCCACCACCCACCCCCCGGGCCAATTTTTACCCAAGGGCTTTTATTTGTTTATTTGAACAAACTTGGTAGACACCCATAAGAAGATGTTTCATGCAAAACATCTAAGTTCTAGCTCATTGGGTTTTTTAAAAGAAGATTTTTTAAGTTTTTACTATACACATATAGTTAAAAACAATGACACCCCTCGGGCAGGGCCAGTTTTGACCCCCCAAGCTTTTATTTGAACAAACTTTGTAGATATTTACTTAAAGATGTGTCATGCTTAATATCTAAACTCTAGCTATTTGGGTTTTTTCAAAGAAGATTTTTAAGTTTTTGCTATACACATATAAGGAAAATCAATGACCCACGGGGCGGGGCCAGTTTTGACCCCAGGGCTTTTATTTGAACATACTTGGTAGACACCCATTAGAACATGTCTCATGCTAAATATCTTAGCTCTAGCTCTTTGCGTTCTTTAAAAGAAATTTTTTTAAGTTTTTACTATATGCATATAGGGAAAATCAATGACCCCCTGGGGCGGGGCCAATTTAGACCCCAGGGCTTTTATTTGAACAAACTTGGTAGACATTCCCTAGAAGATGTTTCATGCCAAATATCTAAGCTCTAGCTCTGACAGTTCTTTATAAGAAATTTTTTTAAGTTTTTACTATATGCATATAGGGAAAATCAATGACCCCCCGGGGCGGGGCCAATTTTGACCCCAGGGCTTTTATTTGAACAAACTTGGTAGACACTAACTAGAAGATGTTTCATGCCAAATATCTTAGCCATAGCTCTTACGGTTCTTTAAAAGAAGATTTTTTAAGTTTTTACTATATGCATATAGGGAAAATCAATGACCCCCCAGGGCGGGGCCAATTTTGACCCCAGGGCTATTATTTGAACAAACTTGGTAGACACTCACTAGAAGATGTTTCATGCCAAATATCTTAGCTCTAGCTCTTACGGTTCTTTAAAAGAAGATTTTTTAAGTTTTTACTATATGCATATAGGGAAATCAATGACCCCCTGGGGCGGGGCCAATTTTGACCCCAGGGCTTTTATTTGAACAAACTTGGTAGACACTCATTAGAAGATTTTTCATGCCAAATATCTAAGCTCTAGCTCTTAGGGTTGTTTAAAAGAAGATATTTAAAGATTTTTCTTTCGGTTGCCATGGCAACCAGAGTTCTGCATGGAATTAAATTCTTTGAACAATTTTTAAAGATGACCACCAAAGGAACATTCCTGTGAAGTTTGGATGAAATTGGCTCAGTGGTTTATGAGGAGATGTCATTTAAAGCAAAAGTTTACGGACGGACGGACGACGGACGGACGGACGCCGGACGAAAAGCGATCACAAAAGCTCACCCTGTCACTTTGTGACAGGTGAGGTAAAAACCAAAACAACAAAAATCAAAAATACATACTTCTTTCCGACAACTGTTCAATGAGCATCCCAATCACCTTGTTTTCTGTAATAGATTCAGCTAGAATTTTGTCTTGCATAAACATATACTGAGTCACAACATTTTTCTTTCTTAAACAATCCAAATTGTGCTGGGTTCTTTTTAATTCTGGTTTCATTAGTAGACAAGATACAAAGAGCTTGTTGGGTGTATCGCATTTCGACTCAAGTAGGTTGTTTTGGCGTGTCAAATCAGCTATCAAGTCATCAGTATCTTTCTGTAAATCGTCTATTTTCCTCTTGTCATTCAACATAACGTTTTTAGCCTGACTCAGAACGTTCTGCCTCATTATGTGTATACGCTCAATTACCTGGTTTGTGAATGCCTCCACGTCGCGAACGAATTGCTCATAGGACTTGGAAAGCTGTTGCCGGTTGATCGCTACCAATGATAAACTATCTTCGGCCTCTTTCATGTATTTATTCATCTCCTCTCTTAGATTTCTAAATTCCTGACTATTATCATAATCAGCAGCTTTGTTACGAATAAGTTCTAACTTGCATCCATTATGACATACAATTATGCATTCTCCGCAGCCAACTTGGTCATGCTTTGGGCAATAATATTTCACAATTTCTCCATTGTGCTCTTGACATGTTTCATACGTATCACCAACCGTTACTTTCATTGGATTCGACTCATCTACTGTTACTAAGGAATGATTTCTATTAATTTTACGTCCTTTGTGCTTCACAAAACATGAATTGCAAATGTTAACTTCACATTCTACGCAGAATCCATCGGCATAATTTGTTATATCATAATCTTCACACAAACTACACAGTTTGGCATTTGTGTCTTTCGTCACTCTTTTACCAGGAACTTCCATTATTTTGTAACAACACTCTACCTGTAAGTCTTATAAGTATAAAGTAGCATTCATAAATAACTTACATCTTAAATCATCTTGGCATATAGTGTATCCTTTGTAGATCAATTGTTATCTGTATATACAAACATACCTTTATGATAACACATCACTTATATTTCATGTTTATTGTTAACATTCTTTGATACTGTCATAAAAGTAGTGTAAAATTAATAAATAACCATGCTGTCAATACTTTATCAATGGAAGAGACTTAAGGAATATCTCTTTTGTAAGCCACTGATACTGTAAGTTTATGATTAAATGCTCACATGAAGCAATCTTAATTAACTACTTTATTGACTAGTGTGCCATTGCATTTTTTTGATGCAATATTCACCGGAATTTGACATATTGACCGTTGCTCGCTTGTCGGCATTGTTTTATGATATGAAAAGGCTAAGTTAAAAAAAGAACAAACAAAGTAAAGCGTTTTAAAGAAAACCAAACACAGAATTATCATGTTTTCATTGGAACGCGGAAAAAAGACGCACGTAAATAATATGACTTGAGACGTACAACAACCTCCCGAAAGCTGTGCAAACCAACGCAATTGATTTGATACTCATCTTTGCTTTGTTACTTTAATTATAATATTTTATTCAAGATATGTTCCATAAAAACAAAACATTAATATTATTAGTGTATGTGCACGCTCAATTTACGCTGTATGATAATTACATACGAGTCCCTTTCTAATTTAAGGTTAAATTTTGGAAATTCCAATTCTGCTAGTGATTATGATATTACACCCAGTGAATATTATTTTATGTATAGGTTAGAGTGCATATTGGGTGTTCTTCGTAAATAAGAAAGCTAAAAAGGAGCGGAGCTTGCGAAGCGACTGTAGCTTTCTTATTTACGAAGAACATCCAGTATGCACTCTAACCGGCTTAGTGCTCCGCCCATTTTGTTCCCACCCAACACATTGCGTGACGTCACATAGTAGCTAAATGTGTATAACCATATTTGAAAAACGGTAGCGGTACACATTTTCGGGTCACGTGTTTTGCATAGCTAATTCCCGCATTCTATGGAGGCGCAATGATTTCGATCTCCTCGACCAAGAACTGCTTCAATTCTTCAATGAACATTTCGAATATGAGAACAATTCTTTGACATTTACGCAACTAATGCAAATTCCTAGCCAGCAGTTGGTAATAGACGAGAAACCTAAGCCTCAGACCAGTAAATATTTTTGTCAAAATCTAAAATATTGAAATTAAACCTTTTGCATGCTGGGAAATTTATCGTCTGCTAGAAATGTCTTCTGCTTTTATTTAGATTTTATCAATTTTGCAAAGCGGTTCCCTCATAATTACCTGAAGATTATTGAATATGATTATGTATTTATCGCGAATTTGACTTGTTCCATTTGCATGAAATTTATAAATTTATAAGTTCGTGTTTCTTTCGTTTAGTTGTCTTTATATTTTATTCAGCACGTGACCATGCCAATGATGTAAGATTTGCATCTTCAGTTTCAGTTTCAACGTAATCAAACATTTTTACTGTTATTTTGCCTGTTTTCATTTCAATGAACCTCAATGCCGTAGTGACGATATACATGTGCGTGTACGGAAAAAAACGTGATGCGTAAATTGATTAGTAGGAGGAGTAAACTTCAAGATCTCTGCACATGCGTATTTTGCACTTTAGCGCTCTTTGAAACTTAGCTCCGCCTGCTTGTGTTTTATAATATAAAACGTCCAGTTTATATAAAATATGTTCTAATAAGATTTGAAACCTGAAAATTTAAAAATCCTCGTCGGTTATTGGCTTAAAAAATTGGCGAGCACTAAAAAATGTTATGATCACTACTGTTTTGGACCAATAAGATTGCAGATATATTTAGATCATAATATTATCAAATATATTCTACACAACCATTTAAAACGGCCAGTCATCGTAAAGTTGAATGAAACCACCCTTAATTAGTTAGTTTCCCGTACACGATATCCGTAATATCTTTAATTGCAAAATAAACAATATATACCATTAATATTATACATGTACAGAACATTATTTGTATGCATTTTTCTCCCACTCAAAACATCATTTTATCTTTATGCGGTATAAAATCAATAGACGTTTATGAAGTATTTATTTATTTATTGATATCTACGTAAAATGACTTACTTCTTTCTTAAATATGTTTTTCTGTCTTGTAAAAGTGATATTTGTTTGATCTGAATGCAAAACTTTCGTATTTCAACGTTAACTTATGATGAAGTCTACATAATGACAGTAATCTAGAATGACATATATTGTTAAACCATATATGTTAGGTGGTTTAAATGTCGTTAAAATCTATAATAACTGAGCGAAAAAGAGTATCGTATGATTCGTTTCACTTTGCGTTTCGAAATCGGATATATATTAAACATATATATTGCCTTACTTGTCACAAAATCTGTTAACCATTCATTATTAAAAGCAAAAACTAATACATGTGTAGACAAAATGACTGAATAGAATATATCTTAATAAGTTATATTCACAGTTGATATTTTGTATGAAAGTATGCACTGCCAGAATAATAATGCAATGATTAAAAAACATTATTAAATAACTATACGTTATAAGTCCTATAAAAAAGCACCTGCCACGTTCAATAACACGATGGCCTGCCTTAAAACAGGGCCAATATCTATATCACTTTTTCGGCCCCGGGCCGAAAAGTGATATAGATATAAAGCCCGCATTTGAAGTAATTTGATTGGCTAATAAAGCAGGGCCAAAAATGATATAGATTTCTGCAAGAAACTGGGAAATGGCAGCCATTTTGTTTTAACTCGGTCTATGTGTAGACGCCGACAGGTTGCATAAATGAAACAAAATATTCTCAGTTTCTAAACATTCACAGTCTGACATTTTGTTGAACATGTACAATATAAGTTACAAAATGTAGGTTTTCCATACAAACTGATAAAATGTAGTTATTTTTACAGTTGTTCTTTGTTATAATTAAAATATGTTAGAATTAAAATAAGAAGAAATATCCGAGGATTAAATATGAAATATTAAAAGTACATGTAGTTATTTAATAAAATTTTCAATAAATAAATGATTTGATATTGGCCCTGTTATTTGTCCTCGGGTCAGTCGTAGTGGCCCTCGGCCACAGGGCTTGGGCCAATACAACTGCCCTCGGACAAATAACAGGGCCAATATCAAATCACTTATTTATTAACATATAGCATTAAATATCGTCTTATTTATTAATAAAGTCAATTTCGTTAATAAACTATGCATTTCCTTATAAAATTTAATAAAGACAATTATTAAGTTTATCGGTTATCACGCTTGAAACTTATAATACTTTGTATGTGTGTCATATCAAAAATATGCCATGAAACTAGACTTGCGTTATCTTTTGATTATTTAAAACGTGCACGCTGTTTGCATAAATACGGTTAAAAATAAATGCTGATAATTGAACAGATAAATGTATGTGTTTAATTGAACAGATAAATGTATGTGTTTAAATATATATGCGACGAAGTATTAGAGTTTTTTTTTTTTCTTCAAATAAATTAGGTGTCTCAAGGACTTATATATTAAATAATGTAGTTAAATATTAGTGGTGTTGAACCAGTGGTAAAACAAAACGACCCGGTGTATTATTATAAGCTATTTTATTGATTAAAAAGGTGTGTGGTTTAAACCCTTTTTCATAAAACTTCCGGGTTTATAATCTATCATATAGTCACGTTTATACTCTTTATATATGTGCATCTATGAAAACGTTTAAAATCAAAACTGTAAGAACTTAGAAGTATAGAATGTTAAACTGTATTGAACAGAAACAAAATAGCATAAGCAATTTGGTAACTGATTCTCTTAGATATGAACATGATCATATGTCTGCGAATCGAAAAAATTAACAGGTAAAACAATAACAAAATTTACCTCAACAATTTCTCACTATATAAACATACATACAATAGCATATTGAAACAAAGACTACTATGCAGGAAAAATCGTTACAGAGCTTATGAAAAACATAAAGCAAACACTAATTTAAATCCATATAAAAGTTCTTACCTGTCGCTTTATAAGTTTTAAATACCTGTTTTGTACAACGAGTTGTCTGTGTTAACAAATATACATCTACTTTATACGCTGGGTGAATATCACTGATATACTTTAAGCTTTTACAGCGAATGTTTATAAAAATAGATTTTAAACTAGGCTAAACTTTCTTTCGTTTTCAAACGATACACACAGTTTATTTGAAAAGAGAAAAACACTTTGAAGGCAGTGTACTTTCGTCTACTGTTCTTATCCTAAACTGATTAGTTTGTGTTATGAAAAAACGTCTGATAAACTTACACATAATGTAAATCTTATTATTGCATATTGCTTAATTATCAGTAAATGGTTGTTATATTTTGAAGGTGTATGTGATCAATAAAGTTTTTAATGTAGAGTATAGTATTGATTAAAATATTTGCAGTTTATTATAACTTCTATTAAACTTCCTGATTGATTAACTACAATATATTCACGTTAATAGTAAATACCTATTTTAAACCATCGTTCATCACTCATATATATAAACAAAAAAAAACACAGTTAACAACGATAATTAATTTTAGTTTTCAATCAATACAGCATGAATGCAATATCATATAGATTCTTTCGATTACTTTGCTATGTTAAGAACTGAAGACAAGGCTTCGTCGGGACTTTGTTGGTGATTTTCATGTTGCTCTGTCTTCCTTTAGGACATTGAGTACTTTTGTTATGGTCATTGGGTTTACTTTTATATGTTTCTACATGATCATTTTGGTGTTTTACTTATTTAACCTTTTGTAACCATGACAACTGTTAGAATTTCACTTTGCGGGGATTCATGTTATTTACACTGTCTCGTTTATAGGAACATGGTGGGTATAAGAGCTAGGTTTAATGCCCCATTAACCGGTTTAAACACCCCAGCAGTCATTATTATGCTGCTGACCGTTCCAAGGCGGCGCCCTCTGTGTTCCTCAGATGTATGTCTATGTTGTTCTTACTGTTTCGGTGACACTTTTGCTTGTGTCCCTTGCTGTTTTCTCGTCTACGGAAAGTATCTTCCCCCCCTTACCCCTAGTTTTTAATCATTTGATTATCCCCTTCCCTCGGTCTCCTGTCCCCTTCCCCTGTGCACTTCGACCTTGTGGGCCTACTATTCAATCATTTATTTGGTTTCTTTGAATTCCTAATCAGTTTCAATTTATTTATCATTTAGTGATTGACCTGTCCGAGCTCTATCTTGTGCCCTGTCCTGTTTTTGTTTGGGGTCCGTCTGGGCTCCTTGCCACTGGTTCTTGTTGCTGGGTCGTGTGGGGGTTGCGTTCTTTGAACGCAGCCTTTCCTTGTTGATCTTGTTTATCATATGTTATTTTATTCATGTAGAAAAGTCTTACCTGATCCTATAGATACAACAAACAAAACAGGTTAACAAATTCACACACACTAAGCGATTCGTATAGAAAACAGATATTCCTCAAGCTTTTATAGCCTATCTTAATCAAAATCGATTTTAAACGTCGCTAAACCGTCTTTCAATTTAAAGCCTTTACGCACATTTATCACATGTACAACGTTTATTTTCATTTGGATTCATTTCCACTTTAGTAAGTAAATGTCGCTAAATTATAAATAGATATATTCTAAATGTTTTTGTGCTATAAAACACATATGCTTATGTAAACCATAGACATGTTATATAAATTGTTGAAGTATCGGTGAATTATAAATGTTATGTGTGTAGATGATCAAATAAACTGATTTTCATTCCTCAACGTATTCATACGTCTTATAAGTTTTAAACATTGTGTTATCTTAGTACACAACTTTTCTTATTTAAACGTTCATTTGACAGTGATTGTGAATGACACATGCGGCGTTTATTAACATTGATCATAAACTCAATAAATGAACACCAAAAAGTAGTACTGAAGTCAAATATTGAATCCTTAAAATCACTTCGCATTGCAAAGTTATATATGCGCTTCTAGAAAAAAATATGTCGTTAACTTTAAGACCGTTGCATTAGAATAAAATGCAAAGTTTTTAAGTTCATTATAGTTTATACCATTAAAACAATATAGGCCTTGTCACATATAGTTCACATTGAAATAACATGTTTGAGCGACCAAAACAATCAACGTTTGGGTTATTTTAACAATACTTTTCAAAAGTCATTTAATCTAATTATATTTAGTAATATGTTATAAAGTTTATATAATAGATAAAAAGTAACACGAACACAATGCCAAAATACCAATGCAAATATGTATATTTTTGATAATTTCTATAATAATTTCTATAGGATCAAAAATAAAACGTTTATGAATTCTGCATCCATCGTAACGCGTATTATCACGTTTTAACATGTTTATAAAATGAAAACAAGTATGCACAGTCTGGTGTAAAGTTGACAAATGAAAATCGCATTTTTCTCACTATTGTTTTGTATGGTTTCGAAGAGGAAAATACAATTATACTTATATGTCTTTACAATTTCAAAAGCAACTTTTAAAGTAATTGTAGAAACTGGTCCAAATGAGCGTTATGTTAAAACAATAAGCTAAAATGAAAATATCAATTTTGTGTTATCAGTTGTATCTTTACAAGTTTTCCTTAACGGCTTTGAAGTTGACACACATTCCCCGTAAAACAAAATCAAACGCTTTATTTAAGATTTATGTTAACAAAGTGAACATATTTTGTATTTTTTTAGATTAATTAACTCAATTTTATCTTATTTTTTAAGATAAATAAATACGAAGACGAAGAGATAATTGATCATTCTTTATTTGTAATATTAATCAATAAACCGACCGACTGTACATGAAATAACAATTACGTGCAATGAGCTCATACAAACCCAGGGACTATTGGAACGTACGCTGACTGTCCGACACTGTTTTGTCTGCTGCGGGTCTACTTATTTAGTTCTCATCAAATGATTTTATATAAGATGTTTCTATCAAACACAATTTCATTTATCTCATTATATATACTTGGTTTTATTAAATCAATATAAAACTGATTAACGGTAATGATTAGTAGTAATTTCCCCCAATTACGTTTTAATAAATGATACTTATTAATTGATAAATATGGTTATTTTACTTTATATAATTTAATGTTTAAAAAATGTACGATGACATACATGTGAAAATAATAATATAAATCACTTTTGCATTAGCATTATAAGTCCATGCTTGTTGTGTTCCCAGTTTACTCAAAATATTCGAGAAAAGTGGAGAATGGCCGGCTATCGGGCAATTTTTTGAGAGATGAAAGAAATTGTGATCCTTTCTTTCTCTCTTATCTTCACATATGAGACCTGATCATGGTCACATGATTCAGACACCTAGAGCACTAGGGAGAATACTTTCAGGATGGATGATAATTGTTATATTGTGTATTTAGTTAACGACGCCATGAACGTCGTTCATTGTATCATCACCGTGCGCCGGGTTTCGTACCCCTTGTCATTAGAAAATTTCACAGAATTTTTTATTTGAAAACATTTTGTATTGATTTTTTCACTGTATATAGAAAACATGTTCCGATATTTGTTTCTTGTAAAATTATGTACGTAAATGTGAACAGTAGAGATGCAGTCCTATTTCTTTTTTAACAACCCTCGTACATATCTTTACAATAATTTATAAGACTTTCAATTTGTTTCCTCTTATTTAATTTGGAAAATAAAGAATATTTGATGCATTCTTGTAATATAGCAAGTGATACAAATTTCACATTAAAATTGTGTCCAATGAAAATAGACGTTACATACTTACAGGTATTTAAGTAGATTCTAATTACTCTTTATGTATATGTGAAAGTATTCCCAGCATTGATGTTTCAATATGTACAGTATTGAAATGTGTGAATTATGATAAGAGTAATAAAATTGATTTTGTTTCGTTTGATATCAAATTTGTTTTAATACGTCCTTATATAGTACGGACACATATTCAGTTAAAAAGAAACACACATTTAATGCAAAATTTAATTGTGTTATATATTTATACACGCATATACAATATAGCATTGAAAGTGGGAGGGGCGGTAAATCTAAGTCTCTAAGCTAGTAAGTAGCATAATGCACAGAACTGACATTTTTCTGATGCTTATTGGCCACGCCCACCATAGCAAAAAGTGTACTTATAACAAGGCGCTTGGTTGGCTGATTAGACCTGTCAATCAAATGGTACAAAGAGGGCAATCAGTTACCAAATAACAAGACACATTCTTTAAATATGTCTGTCTATTTATGTCTCTGGGATTAGTAAAAATAATATATCAGAATCCAAGGATAATTGCGTATGAAGTTGCAATGTTTACAAGTTAAGACTGTTCATTACATATTGATATTGTCATATTTTGGAGGGATTTCACCAACATCCGGTGCCCTGTCGTATGCATTGTACGGAACAAATGCATGACCTGTAGGAGATAAGTCATTTATATAGACAAATTGTGAAGTGTCCGATTTTTTGTATGCTAGGCAGGAGACATTTCCTTGCACTTCCTGTTCCGGTAAAGGTTTCTTCTCGGACATCCGGTCTACAATCTCGCCATTTTGGACAACGATTTCCTGATCACGTTCATGCATAATGTCCTTCAAGAAAGCAAGTTCACATAAAAGTATAAAGTTTATTCTTTTAACTTCTTTACAAAATCTGTTGAATACGTTAATTGAAATGTAACACATGTCTTGGATATTACAGAATTAATCTCGGTTGTCTGTTAAGATGTAATTTATATTAAATTAGTTAGATTGTGAAGAAAGCTATAAGCTTATAGACACGCTTTTGAATCAGGACTGTTGATAAATAAAGACACAGTCCCGAATATTATTTAAAATGAAAGGTTAATATCGGATAATATAAACTGCCAGTATTCGGAGACGTACCCCGACTGTATTAAACACGTGTTTACAAATAAGTCACTTTTTCGCCTTGTGTTCAGGGTCATGCTCATTCACACCCATTGTCATTGTGGGTTCGAGTCCCGCCAGAGACAAAACAATCGGTCAGGATGGTTTTTGTCCAGTTGTCCTCTTATTGCTGACGATTGTTTTGTTTGGTAAAGCTACCCAGCGCTGACGTTTCAACTGGTACTTAAAACTACACGATTACTTAACTAACAGATTCTGCACATATTCCATACTAAATTCCATACTAATAGCATTGATATTTTCTATATATCTAGTGACCTTTCATGGATAAATGACCTTAATACTGTTATATGTAACCCAAATCCAAGCTATTTTATACACAGTATATTAGCACAAGGTACCTCTGGTCTTTGGAATTTGTATCCACACCTACATGGTTGTCTCCAACTTTCTGGTAGGCAACAAAACAATCTGTCAAAAAATGGGATCAGGTATTTGGGGTCAACTTCTTCTTGTGGGAAATACGGCGCTGTAACCACATAAAAGAAAACAACATATTATAAGAATATCACTGTTATTCTTTTTAGTATAATTTAAACTGATACTTGAAATTTGATAAACAGTTCAGAAAACAGGTCATATTTTTCATCTTTTTAAATGGTCGTCGTTTTATTTTCATTTGATAAATATCTAGATACTGAACCTTTGTATCATAAACGCATTGTTTCAATTTCTTAAAAAAACAGACGAAGTTTAAAGATGGGAAACTTTTAAGATCAAGAAATTACCAGTTGCAAAACTAACAACAAGACCAACTATAACCACTGTGGCCACACCTATAGATGGATACCACAAATATGACACCGTGTACAGTATATCAACGCCAGATCTGAAAATCAGATTTTATAGTAAAACACCTATAACACCGTGTACAGTAACTCAACGCCAGATCTGAAAATATAACACAGATATTATAGTAAAACTTGTACAATAACTAAACACCGTGTACAGTAACTCAACGCCAGATCTGAAAATATAACAGATATTATAGTAAAACTTGTACAATAACTAAACACCGTGTACAATAACTCAACGCCAGATCTGAAAATATAACAGATATTATAGTAAAACATGTACAATAACTAAACACCGTGTACAGTAACTCAACGCCAGATCTGAAAATATAACAGATATTATAGTAAAACATGTACAATAACTAAACACCGTGTACAGTAACTCAACGCCAGATCTGAAAATATAACAGATATTATAGTAAAACTTGTACAATAACTAAACACCGTGTACAATAACTCAACGCCAGATCTGAAAATATAACAGATATTATAGTAAAACATGTACAATAACTAAACACCGTGTACAGTAACTCAACGCCAGATCTGAAGATATATAAGATATTATAATAATACACTTTGTTCAGAAACTCAACACCACATCTGTAAATATATCAGATATTACAGTAAAACACTTTGTACAGTAACTCAAAGCTGTTGTTGTTGTTTTTGATCCCTAAGGACCATAATTACATATCATCACTTCAAAAAGTTTGGTGTCAATAAAAATAATCAGTTATAATGAAAGTTTGCATATTGCATTCATGGCATACTTATTTAATTTCTTAAGCTCTTAAGATAGCGTGGTTTTTTTATTCCCCTTTGTTAGAATCCATTAATTCTTGTGAATGGTTAACAATTTGAATCAAGTTTGACTCTTGGTATATCAATCTATTTCGTTGATATTCGGTTTTGATTGCATTAATTCAAATACGTTAAAGAATTAATGAACCGTACTTTTTATCTTTTAAAAATGAATCTTACACTTCTACTGCCGTGTTATGTCATATTAAATGTGTGATTAGAGAGTAAAATAATTACAGTTCTGCTGCTGCTGCTGCAACTTCTGACGTATTAGTTGTCATGGTGATGTTTTGTCCTATACCATCACTAGTACAGTTATCTGTTGGAAATTCGAGACTGTAACCACTAGATGGCAGGTTGTACGCCCCTATACTTATCCATAATGGTAGTACTAGACCAAGGAACCCGCCAATAACACAACCCTATAATAATAAAAAAAACAACACTTGCTATCACACATAGCACTAGTAAAATAAGAAACAAAACCATATATATATGAACAGTATAAGTATTTTGTTTACAAAGTTAAACTTAAATGGCCAAAATATACACCCGTACGTAATATACAATCTGAATAAATCAGATCTACTTTAGTTATTTCTTGAATGTAGATATGATTGCCACCATATTTATTCCACATTCATTAATTCTTTCATCTAAATTTGCAAGAATTTTAAAATAGGTAAAAAATTAAATACATCGACAAATATGGATAGAAAATGTTATTTACCGCCGCGTTCGCCCAGGGAAACACGCCCCCTAGTAGAAATATTCCAAGTAGAGGCCCTGAAGCTGCGCCAGTGAAACTTAATGAAGCCTGAAATAAATAAATAAATATTTTTTTTTACATATTTTGGTCCAATTGAATATTGAAAAAAACCTGTCATATTTGAATATATATAGAGCTAAAGGGCAAAAAAAGCGAATAATACAAACCTGGTAATTTAATTTCACTAGTAAATAAATGAGGTGTCAGTTCGTAATGCAGAAGAAGTGTTTAAACCAAGCGAGGTCATATAATGAAAGTTCATTAAGAAGGTGATGTGAATAATTTAAAAACAATTAATATGCCGTATGGTCATGTGAAATATTTGTAAATATATATATATATTTAATGTGGATGAACTTATCAATATAATCTACCTGTAAAACTGTACCACCGAGATTTTTCGCCATAAATGCAAACCCGACTCCGGCCGCACCATACACAGCAACTGTTTTTATATATAAGTATGTGGTGTTTATGTATTTTATTGTCGGCAAAATCATTTCCCATCTTATTTCTAAAGGCTAAAAGCCGCTTTAATCAATACATGTGGTTAATGCATGAAATAAACAAGCTATAACAATAATAAAAACAAACAAAATCAATATAAAAATATTCAACGATTGATCAATGAATATGACGCATTTCCGATTTTTTTCCAACGTTTTTCAAGAATTTTTATCGGCTTTTATTTAATTTCTTCCTAATGTCAAAGCTGAAACATGAAAAATTAAGACTGTATATATTTATTAAAACTTGAAATAAATTTAAAAAATAATCTTGTTATCAATGAATTTATATTACCTCCTATAAAAATGTAAGTAGACACAAAATATGGTCCGTGTCAATCAATATAAATACGCCAAAAATGCAATTAAAATATAAGATTTTTTAAACAATTAAGTTGGTTCTCACAACCAAAAACGCCCCCACATACACGCCTACACGAACGCACACACACACATACACATTTCAGGACATTTAGATTAAGGATATATAACTTGTATGATTACAATTGCACAAATGATTTCAACAGACAGTTTATTATAGAAAACTAGTCAAGTTATCATATACATGTATATATAATTACCTAAAAGTTTAATAATCCAAGTTTTTGCTCTTTCTGTAACTTTTTCACCAATTATAGGCTTTAAAATATCTTCCCACGTGACTGCTGACAATGCGTTCAAGCACGAGGACATCGTACTGATTATGTAAATGAAAACAAGGTTACTGTATGAGTGGAATATTGACAGTACTTGCATTATTCGTTTAAAACAATATATATATATATATATATATATATATATATATAAAACTTTTTTCCACATTAGGTGGACCATCCTTTAATCTAGGCATAAAGTGGACAATTTGTATATATTGTAAATTTAACTTTTTTCAAAGAAGAAAATATGATTTGAATATTTACAGAATAATGAAAGTCTGTATGACGTTTATTTTTTTCATTTAAACATCCAGTAAAAATATACTTAAAAATTGGTCCCCTTAATGTTTTGTAAGTACAGACCAATCCTTAAGGAGACCAATATATATATATGTAAGTTCAGACCAATCCTTAAGGCGACCAGTATATATATGTAAGTTCAGACCAATCCTTAAGGGGACCAGTATATATATGTAAGGTCATACCAATCCTTAAGGACACCAGTTTATATATAAATATATGAGTTCCGACCCCTCCATAAGAGGACAGGTAATTATATACTACTGAAAACTTCTCGAGCACCCTTTGATATATTGCCAATGTTTTTATAAAAAATATCTGAGTAATAAGCACTTTCTATTCCTTCAGGTGACTAGTGTAGTGTTTAACAATAGTTTCGAGAACCACTGTACACAAGTACTAAGTCATCACTATGGGAAACGTGTTTATATTAGAATTTCCCTATTAACTATTACGAAATCCTTAAGAATAACAAACAAAAATATAAATTCAATATTTCTATTTTGGTAATCCGTAAGAAAGAACTTGGGGGAACAAGTCAATAATAATAACATCCAATACATTATTCCATCCAATACATTATAACATCCAATACATCTACAATACCATAACTATACTATATAAACAAGAGCCGCCCAAACCGGGTGATGCTCCCCGAATAGGTTTTGGACACAGGAAGGTATACCTCTTGTAGTGTCAGAGTTATGTCACAGACAATATTCAAAGTGTAAAAATAAACCCAAATGTTTGGGAAACCCAAACTTTGTCCAAAATATGGTGATCATTTTTAAATATTTTGTAAAACCCAACTTAAAAAACGAAATTATGGGGGGAAACAGATTTTTTTTTTGCAAGGAATCGTGACCTTGCCTTAAAAGGTAGAAAACCAAAATGCGCATGCACGTCAATTTAATATGGTATATCTCTTGAAATAGTTTAAATCCGATTTAAAAGAAAACCCAAGTCATGGCTGGACACGATTGGGCCAAGATTTGCCATCCCTTTGACCTTCAAGGTAGTCCCCAAAATTGCGGCACACATTGCCATTATGGGCTCATATCTGTGAAATAGTTGTAAAATTTGACTTCAAATAATGAAGTTATGTGCTGGACACCATTTTTGCTGCATGATTATGCTGTGACCTTGACCTTCAAGGTAGCAACCCAAATGTGGCAAGTGACACGTCATCTCAATATGGTGATCATTTCTGTGAAATAGTTTTAAAATCTGACTTCAAATAACGAAGTTATGGACCGGACACGATTTTGCTGCATGGTCATGCTATGACCGTGACCTTCAAGGAAGCGAGCCAAATGTTGCTCGCAACACGTCATCTCAATATGATGATCATTTCTGTGAAATATTTTAAAAATCTGATTTCAAATAACGAAGTTATGGGCCAGACACGATTTTGCTGCAAGGTGATGCCGTGACCTTGACGTTCAAGAAAGCTACCCAAATAATGCGCTTGACACGTCGTCTCAATATGGAAATCATTTTTGTGAAATATTTTTAAAATCCAACTTCAAATAACGAAGTAATGGGCCGGACACGATTCTGCTGCAAGATCATGCTGTGACTGTGACCTTCAAGTAAGCGACCCAATGTTGCGCCGATACATCATCTCAATATGTTGATAATTTCTGTGAAATATTTTTAAATCCGACTTCAAATAACAAAGTTATGGGCTGGACGCGATTTTGCTGCAAGGTCATGCTGTGACCTTGACCTTCAAGGAAATGACCCAAATGTTGGCGCGAGATGTCAGCTCAATATGGTGATCATTTCTGTGAAAAAGTTTTAAAATCTGACTTCAAATAAAGTTATGGGCCGGACACAAATTTGCTGCAAGGTCATGCCATGACCTTGACCTTTAAGGTAGCAACCCAAATGTTGCACACGACACATCTAGTCAATATGGTGATCATTTCTGTGAAATATTTTTCAATTCAACTTCAAATAACAAAGTTATGGGCTGGACACTATTTTGCTGCAAGGTCATGCTGTGACCTTGACCTTAAAGGTAGCGAGTCAAATGTTACGCGCGACACATCGTCTCAATATGGTGATCATTTCTGTGAAATAGTTTTAAAATCCAACTTCAAATAACAAAGTTATGGGCCGGACACGAATTCGGGATGTACGTACATACGGATGGACAACCCAACGACTATATGCTCCTCGGAAATTTTCCGGGGAGCATAAAAGCGCAATTTAATTGTTGTACAAATAATGATGCAATTAAACCTGTAGCGTTAATATAACACTCAACATGGCTTTTTATGTAATATCATTACATAATCTATCTATTTACTTAAAATATATCGAACCAAACAGTACGACTCCCCAAAGCTGACTGACTTAAGGTAGCGTTTTGTAATGGGGGCACTGATTTGCAGCTAGGTAGAAGTTAAAAAAAACTTCATTTAATTCAAATATAAGCAATTTAGAGACCATCCACCACACTTCTTTTCACAGTTTTTACTTATTTGATTTTATATACAAGATTGAAAATTTTCATTTTATTCATATAAAAAGGAGGTAATAAGGTGAAAATATAATTTCCCTTCAATATAATTTAAGCAAATAAAATGTTTTAAAATATAATTTTCTTTGGTTGAAAAGCAAAATCATAATATATATATTACAATTTAAAGAGAAAAATCTTCTTTATTTTCATAAAAGTTACAAATGTGTAACACTCAAAGTCCATTACAAATTGACTACCTTCATTCGCCAAATTTAAACATGAAATCTCTTGCACAAAATATCTTTATATACTAACTGCCACCTAGTGGTTTCTACCTTATAAACAAGGGAAAACAATTTCCTCAAACGTAGAACATTATATGTATTACTTAATGACAGTTCATTAAACACAGATTTACATCTTATTTCTACTATTTTAAAAAAATAAACGGAATCCAGGATAATATATCAATGTTTTGATTTAAAAAACATGGGGCCCATTGTAGATAGGTTCATAAAAATGTTGATCGTATAAGAGTTTTAATGGCATTGTTATTCACAAATTATTCCATTGCTATCAAGCATATATATAAAGTTGAAGTCGAAAACGCGGTAAAATCGTTCTGGTGTTGAGCGTTTTAAATGTCAATTGCCATTTGTAACTATATATGTATGAAAGGCTTTAACTAGGCGTTGTGAAACTTGTGAAAGTGGGTTCTACAAGGATGTTTCCACCATTTCCAAACACATTTCATGAATATCTGCATATATCTGTGTTCTCTGTATACAGTTCATCTCGTCTACAAGGATTTAAGTCAATCAATTTAGAAATATGTGAACCAGGGTGTTCGGTAGACTCTGAAACTCAAGGGTCAAGGATTTATCACTCAAAAATTTTAAGGGTCAAACTCCAATCTTCAAGGGTCAGCATAATTTGAGTATCATTTGAGTATCATAATCTTATTTCCATTATTACAGTCCAATCAAACCAACAGGTTGAAATAAAAACAATGCATGTATTCAACAATTTATTTATCAAATTATAGCAACCGCATAAAACATATTTCATAAGCAAACTTAAAAGTATGCAATTGATAAATTACTAAACTTAAAGGCACATTTTTGCCTCAGAAACAATTATATGAGTTTTAGAAGATGTTACATGCTTTTTGAGAGATTAACATAAAAGCATTTCTGAGACATAATGGGCCTTTAATGCAAAGATTCTGAATAATTATGCTAATGTCAACAATAACTTATGATAAGAATAAACAGACAATACTCTAGTAAGCAAACATAATGACATTGGAGTGAAGTAGCATTATCAGTTTATCAAGTCCATAATATGCTTCATATTTACACATCCATAAAAATAAATAAATAAATGTATCTATCAATTTACAAAGCCCTAGTACATCAAAAAACATTGACAGTAGTGTATTTTCAGCAACATTTTAATACAGTAATACTATTTCAGTAAATCATGCAGAGGTATTACATAATATCCTTCATTTATCAATTGTATCAATTTCATTTTAATATCAATTAATATAGAAATTAATCAATGCACTGACATTTTGGATACAATGTTATGTAGCATACAATGTGATTTCTTTAAAACAGAAAAACATTTTTTTTTCAGTCAATCATTTACAGATCATTACATAGACCCAGTTGCACAGACCACATTTATCTCCTACTAGTTCATAATCATGTGTTCATTTACGCCTCTTAACCTTATCATTGAATCTCTGCACAATAGCAGCTGCTGGGAAGTCTTTGATAATATCACCTTCTTCAATTATTCTGATCAGTTTTAGCAACTTTCTCATGGCTTGTACGGGACCTAGCTTTTGTCTTTAGTCTATTTTTGGTGGAAAAGAAACCCCTTTCACATGCTACACTTGTAAGTGGGGCGGTTAACATGTACTTGGCCAGAACTGCATAGTCTGGATAACTGTCACTGAAGTCATTAATGATGATTTCACACACATTTGATAAAGTTTTTCCCCTCATGTTTTTTTAAAGTCATCTTAAATTGTGTATGGTCCTGTTTCATTCTTTTTCTGTGTCAACTAAGCCTGGATGGTCATTGATTGGGCCTAGCCACTTGGTCACAGATTCAATATCTTCTTCCCCATACATAATGATGGAAGTGGGTAGTCTCAGGAAGCATATTTGGGTTTAGGATTTTATTAGCTACTGACAGTTTGTCCATGGATTCTTCTTCAAATCTGGCATTTAGATTGTCAACAAGATTGTTTATGTATTCAGCTGCACTTGACTGAAATCCCATACGGATAAGTGGTGTGTCATTTAATTTAACATCTAGATACTTCCCATCTTTGAGAGAATCATAAACTTTACTGAGGACCACACCATTTTTAATCTTGAAACTTTCAACAGTGTCTTTGGTACTGGAAACCTGTGTCATTACAGTGTCAACATTTAAATCATCTTTTTGGAACAATTTACACAGTTTATTCACACATTCTAAGACATCAATTAAAAATCCAGTTCTAAGAATGAAAGCGGCACTTTTTACACTTTTCAGGATACCCTTAGCATCTGCACTGCCAGTTGCTGCCTCTGCTTCAAGAGCTAATACAAGTGCTGGGTATACTTTGTAAATTGCCTTCACTGCTGCCTCTAATGACAACCATCTGAAGCTTGCTGGTTCTTTAGTGTTGTATGTGTGTCCCCATTCTCATCATTTAAAACATTCTCCATTTCTCTGAGGGTATTGTAACGAACAGCTGAGTTGTGGAAGTAGCGATACACATTCTTCACAGTGTTTATGGTATTCGGCAAATTGTTTTGTTTCTTTACATGCCTGGCCAGCACACAGAGCTAGTCTATGGGCAACACAATGCACTTGAACAAGTCTAGGGTTACTCTTCCTAAGTAAGGCACCAACACCACCTTTATGTCCAGTCATAACTTTGGCACCATCACTTGCCATAGAAACAAGTTTCAACATGTCAAGTCCTAATTTAGAGCATTGTTCAAGAATGGCGTTCACAAGAGTCTCTGCTTTTCCATCTCTTACACTCACACAGTCAATAAAATGTATCACCGTCTCTGTTGTATTGGCCTTAAAACACTTGAAGTAAATGTTCAATTTCTTGTGAATGCTAATATCAGTGGTCTCATCTACTATCACTCCTACAAAGTCACTAGATAATATGTCAGCTTTGACAAGGTCACTGATATGTTCATTAATGGCGTCAATCATCTGATCATGGGCTTCATTACTGGTGTAGATTGTTGACTTGTCTTGTAAGACTTCACAACCATTTTCTCTTTGAAGGTCAATCAGCTTGTTGTGAGTGCGTAGTGGTAGATTGTTTCTCGCAACAAAGAATGCTGTTCTCAACTGTGCTTCCTGGAAAATTAAATTTATAAAATTGGTAATTTCATAATATAAATTACTGGCATTATAGTTTACTTTTGGACAGAAGTCAGTATCATCAGTTGGGAATTGATGAAAAAATATGTAGCAACATCAATACAAGCTGCTAAAATTTATCAGTGCTATAAAAAATTAATATGCAAATATCTGTCATAATATTATTTTGTTGTTTTGTTTATAAATTAATACATATTCAACACAGACCTTGAGGCTGAGCTTTGTGCTGTTTGTTTAGCTTCTTGAATCAACAAAGCATCTTTTGTTGTTTTTTTTAGACTTGATTAGCAGTCTACCATTTGCTAACTCTAAGTGATCAGGATTTTTGTTTTGATGTCTGTCAATTGCACTATGTTGTAAATTTGTGCTACCACCATTTGCATAAGGGTTGTTCTTTTTTTGCATCACGGCAACCATGTACAAAACAATCTACATTGTCCATCTACAACTTTCATTTCCAACCATTTGAATTCTTCTAACCAATTTTCTCTGAACTTTCTTTTTGTTTTAGACTTTGGTGTTTCTGGGTTATTGTCATTTTTGGCACGCTTAGTTGGTGTGACACTCAAAAACTCTCAACATCACTTTCACGAGTACGTTTTTGTACCAGCAAATCCTAAGTCAAACAGGCTTTTTTTGAGCCATGATAAAAATGCTTATTAAGGAGCACATACACTAAAAATTTAATGTAATATAGGGTTCGAACACGGCGACGTTAACACTAAGGGTACATCGATTCAAATGTGCTGAGAATATTGTAGGTTTTATAAATACAGTTGCCTAAAATTTTGAGCAAAAACATTGTTATGTTTTTTAATTTGGCGGATGTTTCCCAATAATTTTTACTAAGGTGTTGAAAATGAACAATACCGGTAAACTAAATTAGCCACCTGCTAAATATTACTTCAAAACGATTTTCAATTCCTACTTACCGCTGCAAAAAATTACAATTACCGGCAGTCCAATCTTCCATACGAAAAGTGTGAGCAAACCCCGACCCATTGTAAAAAGCGTGAACAATATTTTTATTGTTTCCCAAAATTTTAATAAAAATTAAAATTTTTGCAAAAGGGGGATATGCCGCGTATTTAAAATTAGCGAAAAACCTTTCAATATAAAATTCTCGCTATCGGACGCAAACCCAAACGTCCCGGTTTTCAGTCGGGAATTGGTTTTAAAACCGCTTTAATGGGGGATAATTTTTCCGTCCGGGGGCCTACTGTCCCTTTGTAGGCGGGGCAAAAAACCCTCTGGTCTACGCGGTGACCAAAATTGATTAAACAAAAAAGGTAAATTTTCCCAAACGCATCCTTTTGGGAAATTTTTCCAAAGGGGTTAAAAAAAAATGCACGCGGTGTTTTTATGAGGGGTTAAAATAAAGTGCATTTGAGAATTTTAAAACGGGTCAAGCCCGAGGTTTTGGGGTTTCAAACGAAACACCCTAAACGGGAACAGTTCAATTTAGTAATCTCTTGTTTATACAGAAGGCAGCGTGGTTAATGACATTTTTGTACCTGTGTTCAATTCTTTCCTGCATGCACTGATTAAAAACAACTAAAACTCTGAGAGTCGGATAAGTCGCCTGATGAAATATTTTAAACCAACCCAATTTATGTAAATATTTTTTTTTTGTTTTTACAGTTTTTAGCATTAATAGCAAAACAAATTTGAAGCAATAAATCTTATATTTGAAAACACTGTGCTCCAGGCAAAAAACTTTGTCATGAAAGGTCACAAATTCATTAGGGACATCCTCTTCTTCAATTGTACATGCGCTGTGTTAACAACTTACTGTTCTCATAAACGCCTAACATTAACATGATTGAAGAAATACAAAAAAATAATTTCAAAATTATTTGGAATTGAAAGCAACGAACAAAAATAAAACATTCTTTTTTATTTAATGCAAAAATATGAATTTGGGTTAGAACATAATGTAAATATCAAAATAGGTTAAAACATGTAAACAACCAAGCCAATTATCATTAGTATTGCAAGCAATCCATAAGTCCCCCTACCGGTTAGAACCCCAGCAACATTCTGATGGCCATTTGCCATTCAATTTTTACCAGTGAATGAATGACATGAATTTAAACTTAAAAACCTTTTCGAGTTCTAAACAGTTTGTCATATCACAGTAATGTGTTAAGTTTTCCCTGCCTAGTAAGGAAATTATGTTTATACCCAACCTTGACAGTATTTATTACATGTGGGATTTAAAGTAAATCCTATAGGAAATGAAGAACGTTGGGAGTGAAAATACCCCAGTTTTCGAAAAAAAATCTAAGTTTTTCCAAGGGGGACATAAATTCGGGGAAAATAGTCTTGCTGATGATATTTAACCCCTTCTTCAAAAAATGTCGAGTGATTAATAAGAAAACATATATATGAAGTTGAAATAGATACATTAGGATATAAAGAAGTTATTTTAAAAAAGACAACATTTTTCCCCTAAAAAATTCTAAGTTCAAGGAGGTAATACCTGATATTTTTTGTCTAGAGTTAAAAAACCCTTATCACAATATGATGTGGTTGATGACCAGAAACTTATTATTTAAACGTTTATGAAGTAAAACAGCCTTTTAAAAATAAAGGGAAAGATTATTAGTGAAAAAAGCTGAAAAATTTAAATCAGAAATCTTGAAAATTCAGGCTATTTTGCCATAGCAAACCAGGAATTTTTCATACATAGAAGAAAAGAAAAAGTTTGCATAATCTCCAGACTCCTTCTACCCATATTTCAAGTTTCATAAAATATTTTCCAGTTCTTTTTGAGTTATCAACTGGCATCCAGTTTATTGTGTTAAATTTGCCATATTTTCAATACTATTTTTTCCATTGAGCAACCAGATTTTTCAAACATAGGAAAGAAAAAAAAAAAAAGAAACATGCATAATTTTCCATACGTGCCCATCTATCCATATTTTATCAAGTTTCATAAAAATTTTTTCAGTACTTTTTACCGTTATCACGGGATCCCAGTTTTGTGGACTGACGAACTGACAGACAGACGGTGACGACAGACAGACAGGACGGACAGAGGTTAAACCTAAAAGTCCCTTTTTCCCGGTTAAACCGGGTAGGGGGACTAATAATAATTACTAGCTTTACATTTGTTACTTTTTCGATAAAGTCAAAATTGGTTTCATTTCTTTGTAACTGATAATTTTGTTTAATTGTTGGCATAAATCCAAAGATGCTTTGGTAGACATGTGATGAACAGAAACTTTATTATTTATTTG